TGGGTTATTTAGGCAGGTGTAGGTGGAATCTAAGTGATCAGCAGGACGCGTGGTGAGCCCAGCGTCCTCCTAGCCGCCATCTTCCCTCTCCTTCAAGAATGTTGTTTATACATATGTTGCCTATGGCTTGCAATAGCAGTGCCTAATACTGTGTTAATTGCCTTTATTTTTTGAAGGGCTGTAGAAAACAAAGAGAAAAGATCAAATGACTGTAGATATAAAAGGTAATGTTACAGCAAGTTACTATCCTAAAAGGAGGGAGTTGAGGGTGAAGAGATAATTATTTTGGTTAATTTCTTGCTTATTGTTAATACTTGTAACGTTTATATAAAAGACTCTACAAATATGTTATGGATAAAATCCAGATATCTTTTAAGACTCCTTGAGCTGGATATGGAATTCTTGAATTACTGTATTATTGTACACCTGAAACTAATGTAGCACTGTATGTGAACTATACTTGAATTAAAATAAAATAAAGAAATAAAATAAAATAAAATAAAATAAAATAAAATAAAATAAAAAAGACTCCTTGAGCTGGAAGAGATTTTAGTGGTTTTCCAGTTCAACCTATCACATTATGAATGGAGCTGAGAGGCTAGAGGACTTGTGCAAGGTCATATGGTGAGTTAGTAATAAAACTGAACAAGGATTCAAATCTCATGACTTCCAGCCTAGTGCTTTCTCTGTTTTCTGGGACTTAAACATTTTTGTTCAGCAGAGTTTTTCCTCTGTAACCTCAAAAGTGAGTACAGTGTCTGGCCCATAATAAATGCTCAATAAATGTTAAATTAATACACAATGGCATTGGTTGTACTGGGCTTTGCACTTATTCCCAGGTAAATTATAAAGGATATCTGTGTTTTAAGCCAGGAGACATTCTGGGACAAAATATGAACCATAGCTAGGGAGATGATCTGAGTTTCAAATTGAAAAAACAAATTCATACTTTTTCCACTGTAATCTTCTTCATTCACAGGATGGTTTACTTTTAGCAGCGGAATCTAGAACTCCTCTGGGAGCCCTAATCCTTTGGCTCTGTAACCATTCCTTTGCAAACTTGGGTTCAGGAGCTAGTATTTTCCTGTGGAAGAAGAGATTCCTCAAAGAAGTATTCATAACTTGACCCTATTTTTACTAATTAATGTGACAAACTAGTCCTGAGGATTGCAGCTGCACCAACAACTGGGGATGTCCCCATTCTAGAACGTCCATGGCACTGGAAGTGAACCCACTGGAATTGGATACAGGGCCTCCCCTCTAGGAGTTGATAGTCAATGACTGAATGGCACTCACAGCAACATCCTTTCTGTGCACAAATAAGAATCTGCAGTTTGCAGCAGAAAAAGGCTGTTATTAAATTATGTGTTCTGTTAATACAAATGGTAGAAAGAGTACTTGTTTAGAGGCCTTAGTTTTCTCATCTGTTAAGTAAAAGTAATGACAGTACCTATGCCAAAGAACTGCTGAGATTATTCATTTAAATGGGATATGTAGGGTCACCTGGGTAGCTCAGTGGGTTAAGCGCCCGACTTCGGCTCAGGTCATGATCTTGCCGTTTGTGGGTTCAAGGCCTGCGTTGGGCTCTGTGCTGACAGCTCAGAGCCTGGAGCCTGCTTTGGATTCTATGTCTCTCTCTCTCTCTCTCTCTCTCTCTCTTTTCCTCTCCTGTTCACACTCTGCCTTTCTCTCTCTCAAAAATAAACATTTAAAAAAATAAATGACATATGCAAACTTGCCAGCATAAGCTTGGTTCATAGCAGGTGCCTATTAAGTAGTAACATTCTTCCTTGATAGGTCTCCAGTTGAGTATTCTTCAGGCAAGTCACATTCCCAGAACTCATCCTTGGAATGAAAGGGTTATACTGGAGTAGTTTTCAACAGTTCCTTCAAGCCCAGCATTCGGGGTCCTTTAACAAGGGGAAGGGAATGAGAGAGTAACAGGGTGGAGAGGAAGGAAGGAAAGAAGGAAGGAAGGAAGGAACAGGCAGATTTTGCTGACCTGGCTACTAGTGAGTCTCCTACATAAAATAACCTACTATAATACAGTTTTTTCTGTGCCTGATATGTACATTTTATGCTGAAAAGGGAGGGAAAAGCCAATCTATAGCTAAATTTATGTGTTTTTCTCCCACTATCAAATAACAATTGCTCTTAAATTTTTCTTCCTTTTCCCTACCACAAATATGCTTCCTCTGCTAAAAGAAGCCTCCCTAACATCACAGTCTCTCACATAAACTAAAGCACAGCAGTAAATGAGAAGGACTTGCATAAAGAAGTCTTGCATGTTTCAGAGCAGCGGGATATGTATGTATGTCTGTTTATGCTGGCTACTCTGTATACCTGTGGATCACCATTTGTGTATTCATTCAGTCAGTATTTGAGGGCCTACTGTATGCCAGGCCTATGTTAGGAGCAAGGAGGCAAAATGTTGAGTAAAATATGTATTTTTTAATGGACCTCCATGTCTCTATCTGAGCAGCTGTGATCCTGAAGATCTCTGAGTCTGAACACATGTATATGTTTCTGTGTATCTGTGACAGCTCCAGGTGTACACGACAGCAATCCCCCACACACACACACTGGCTTCAGAAGACTTCCCTTTGCCTGGTGTGATTCACTTCACAGGCATTGAGCTTTATCTCTGTTTCGTTTTTATAACTTGCAGGATTGGGGATATGATAGCTAGCAATTTAAAAACAAGTAGAAATATCATGGAGTTCTTTCTCATAGAAGTTTTACCTGTTTTTTTTTATTATGAAAAATAAGCATTCTGTTAGCTTGAGTATAATCCTTTGCATGAATACAGGGGTCAGGAGGAAGAAACATTGCCTAAGCCCAAGTCTCTGCTGTGCCATGCTAAAGGAGTGGTAATTTCTGCCATTGATCATTTTCCCATGGGTGTTCGTGGCTTTCAGTAAAGGTAGAATGTCTTATTTTTAAAAAAACTTTACGTAGTTCTTATCATGAAGGGAAGTATCAACAGGACCTCAATTGTTCATATTGATTAAAAACTCCTATGCAAACCAAACAATATAGCATAGAATTAAACTAGCCTGTGTAATTCTGTGTGATCAAATTCTTTAGGGCCATTCTCTGTCCACTTCTCTTATCTGGCAGGGTTACCTTTATGTCTTTTCTGCCTAGAAATACCAAAGGAGAGAGACTCTGGAAATGCATTAATAGGGTGTCTACTCTTCTGTTTGTTCTCCTAGGGAAACAGAAGTACCTGTGTGCCAGCAGAAATGATTGCACCATCGATAAATTCCGAAGGAAAAATTGTCCATCTTGTCGCCTACGGAAATGCTATGAGGCAGGAATGACTCTGGGAGGTATGATACTTTTCTCCCTTTGTCTTTCTCCCTTTCCTTCCCTCATTCTCTTGTTCTTGCTTTGAACCAGATTTTCCTCTTTGGTGCTTCCTAGGTGGCCAGCCATACTCTAGATACAGGCTGACCCCTTCATATCCAATGTGGCTATCAGCCAGCTGGTGCCTTTATTTATCCTTAATGATGTCACACCCCACTCTAGGGCTTAGCATAGGAGCAGAAGATGTGAAGCAGGGATCAAGTCCCATCAGGGGACGAGTGAGTGTGGAGTCAGAAGACACAGTGATACTGGCCTTATGTTATTGAATGATGGCTAGGATGAGAGAATTATGGAATTGAGAATAGTCACAGGTGCAGGATGACCTAGGCACAGGCTGGCCCTGAACAACCAGGAATATCCTCAACTAACTACTCCTATATTGTAGGGCTGGCCATCTGGAATGAGAAGCTGCTTCTCTTTGGAGCCTATGACTAGACTGCCAAGCAGAGCCAGTTTTCTATCCCATATGTCCCAGGGTTGAGCAGGCCTTTTAATCATTTCCTTTTCTTTGCAAATCTATTGATAATTTCCAAAATAATTTCTTCAATAGCACTGTAGCTTTACAGAAGGAAGATGCAGCTTTTTCAAGGGCAGCCCTTCATCATAAGGCTCTCTGTCCCCTAGTCTGTGTCTACTGTGAACACTGTCACCATTCCAGAAAGTCTTGGCTTACACTTATATTTTCCCCTCCAAATTCATCATTTCTTCATGTATATGCCCGCACAGTGGCATGGTACTCTCTGCTGCCTGATGCTTCCAAAATGAAGCACCTTTCATGAGAAAAGCAAGCTCATTAGTCTACTTTGATTTGGAAATGGGACTTGAAGAAAAGCAAGCTCATTTCTGAATGCCTGAAACTAGCCTCCTACCTGATTACTCATTATCAGCTTGGAAAACCCAAGATCCTAGAATCCTGCCATTTCCCCTCCCCCCTCTCAAAGCTAATTTAGTGCACTTGTCCATCACTGGCTTTCTGTGAGGTGCTCAATACTTCTATCCATGTACATTTTTATATAAACCAACTTGTTCTCTATGTGTGGGTCTTCATGTTGATAGCTGTATCCTCCCCTCCTTTACAGGCCAATAATAGTCTTTACACAGACCAAAGTCCTACAAATAACTCAGGTTCCATTTGAAATAGTTGTAACAGAACCATCTCAAATAGTGGCTAGTGCTCCCAGACATGGCAAGCAGATGCTCTGTGAGTAATCTTCCAGGCAGCCACATCAAATGAGACTCAAATATCTGAGAAAGACCAACCTTGTTCTTGTTTGCTTATTATACTCCAGAGAAATCCTACAATTGTGTCTATGGTGGGGAAGAAGAGGCAGGACTGGGGTGGAGAAATGCAGAAGGAAAGCCAGGAAAGATGACAAAGGAATAAGAGGGATATAAATAAAGGGAATAAAAGGGATAAGAGGAATTTTTCTTCATATGAATGTTACAACCCCTAATGCAGTCATCTCTCAGTATTTAGCCCTCTGTCCATTGTGTGTAAGAGATAGGGGCTCCCAGGTAGAGAACCTCTTGTTTTTCAATCTGATAATATGAATTGCAAGCCTGCTTTGATGCAGGTGAAGTTAATGATAACAAAAGTTCTCATAAAATTTGGGTCCAAATCTTAAAATTAGTTTCATGTTTCAGCCAACATCCTCCATTATAAAGCAGTCTGTGACATGATTATAGTGAACCCTTTTTGAAAAGGAGTCTGTGCATCTGATAAACTCCTATATTTAAAGTGTACAATTTGACAAGTTTGACATATCTGTACACCTTCCAACCAAGATAATTAACATATCTATCACCCTCCAAAATGGTTTTACGCCTCTTTGTAACTCCTTTCTCGCTCTTCCTTTCCTGCTTCCCAACCCCACCTCTAGACAACTGATCTGATTTCTGTCACTGGAGTTCTGTTTGTTTTTTTTTCTACAATTTTATATAAATACAAACAAACAGTATGACCTCTGCTGTCTAGTTTATTTAATCAGCATAACTATTTTGAGATAAATTCACATTGTTGTATGTATCAATAATTTATTCCTTGATACTGCTGAGTAGTATATCCATAGTATGGATATACTGTAAATTATTCGTTCACATATTGATGGATATGTTACTTGTTTCCATTGTTTTTCTCCCCATTACAAATAAAAATGCTATGGACATACATGTACAAAAAAAAAAAAGAAAAGGAGTTTTTGTATACCAGATAATTTCACTTCTCCATATATCAGTCAGGCATAAATCTGTAAAGTTCATGGAGAGAGTGGTACAGTAAGTTTTCAAATTGATTTATTGAATAGTGTGCTCAAATTTGTATGGGCTTGGTCAGCACAATGAAAAGAAGATGAGAGGTACTGTGAATGACTTTCATTTCAGTTCAATTTCTATGATATTTAGAAGTACCATACTAAGCAACAGAGTGCAGGCTGGCAAACTTGAAGAAATGTCTACAAGATACAAGGATTCTTGATATTGTGTAAATGGTCTTACCTTTGGAGTCAGGCAGAACTAAATTAAAGGCCCAGCTCCATTATTTACAGTGCTTCCTTTAGGCCTCAGTTTCTTCATCTGTAATTTAGAGATATCACTCACAGAGTCATGATGAATGTGAACATCTTTGGTAAATGACAACATGCTAGACAAATGTGAGGGCTTACTATGATAGTGAGGTCACTATCATAATGATTACCAATAATTTAGATGGTAAGCTGTTTAAAACAATTACCAGTTGGCTTTTACCCTGAATTACTTGTCATGCCCTATAATATGTAACAATTACAACAGGCAGAACATCACCAGAAATCACTTCTTATCACCTCAAACTAAAAGTACCATCAAAATCCTGTTTGGAAGCCAATCCTAGTAATTAAGGAATCATATATTCAAATACCATGCCAGTAACATCCCAAGTGTTTACCCACTTAAACACCATTGTTTGAAAAACAAACCTTTCCGTTTTGCTAAAGTTATTTCCATGTTCTCTGATTCTCTGCTGCAAACCCTTCTCAAGTTTATGGTTAACTTGCAAATTCAGTGTACAGTACATCTTTACTCAAAACAATGGAAAAACTATAGAAAGCATAAATGCAGAGTGGCTCTTTAAATACTTTAGCAATAGACTTCCCTTCTCATAAGATTTGGTTTTGGCATAGACATTCTTATCACATTGAAGGAAAATTCATATAACTTTGTTTTATTCTTCCCATCAGTAAACTCAAAATGGTAGCCAGAAATGGGAACTAGGAGTATGGCCTTGGGCAGTCCCTTCTCCCCTCTGAGACTCAATTTTCCTATCATAAAATTGAGATAATGAGATTTACCAAAGACCTGTATGGCACTACCATTTTGTGATTCTATGTCTAAAGTCATAGAGAAAGCTTATTAGCCTTTTTGTGGATTATGTATCCATTGCCCTTAGAAGTATAGATAGTCTAAACTTGAGTATTTTGACTTGAATAGTAATTTTAGCTACCTCAGATTACACCTAAGTAAGGTATATTATGTGTCCAAAAATATACTGGATGTACAGATTATTGAAGGAGTGGAGGGCAGAAGGGTTATCCTTGTATCTTAGAGAAGCTGGCACACTACAGCTGATGCTTGCTTGGTCTTGAGACCTCAAGATCTCTAACTGACTTTCTCTGTAGTGTTCATCTACTGTTTGGTGATGGGATCTCCATAACTCAGAGATACTTAAAGCACATAGCTTTTCCCTTTTTGCTTCTAGGCCTATCTACATGTTCACTGCTCCTTTTTTTTTTTTTTTTTTTTTTTTTTTTTTTTTTTTTTTTTTTTTTTTTTTTTTTTTTTTTTTTTTTTTTTTTTTTTTTTTTTTTTTTTTTTTTAGGAGCTCTTGGTATTTCTTGGTGTTTCCATGGGTGGTTGGATTCTCAGGGTGGATCTCTTAAAGACTGCTTTCAGGCTATTAACTAACTGCCCATTAACAACTAGAATAGGCCTTTCTTTGAACCTGGTTCATTTATTGCTGCTTTTGGAAAAGTGCACATTGCTAACTGCTTCAAGAATCTAAACCTCTTGCCTACTTTTAGCCTAAGAAAATATTTATAAATATAACTTTCCAGAAAAGGACCTTCTCTCTGATGAATTAGCTGTGGGTTTTTCACAGCCCATAATCAGAGTAAGTGCACAGCCATCTCTCACTTTTGTCTACACTTCCCAAGGATATACTTAGAGTTTCCAAGGTGTAATGAGAAAGAAATAATTGCCCTGACTTGCCATCTTATCTCCTAACCCTCCCCTCCTCACTGAAACCTCCTATTCCTCCCCAAACATTTTTCTTTTTGCATTTTGCAACTCTTGAGTCCTCAGTTTTTAATAAATGACATTGGCACCTGCTTACTCCCTCTTTTTCTGGACCATGGAAGATGGTGGGCCTTTCAGGAATATAATGTAGCAGCCAAACCCAGAAGAGGAAAATAAACCTGGAACATGTGAGAATCTAAAGTGTTCAACATTTTCTTCAGAGGTTACTTTAGCATATTTGAGAAGTCTCTTTCCTACTAGAAGACTGAACTTTACATCTGAGACTCAAAACTGTTAGCATTTCTGCAGGTTTTAAACAACCTCCAGGATTCTCTAGTTGAGAAAATGGCTCAGGGAGCCCATGGCTATGATCTGATGTCATCATGTACACTATGAACATCTTTGTGGTTTCCAGTGTTGAAGACAGTCTTGATGACAGCTCTTTTGTCATTCTCTATGCTCAAGAGCAGCCCTGAATTGCTTCTTCTGGATTGCTGTTTCTGCTTCTGGATGCAAGAGAGTGATTCCAGTGATGAAACACTATTCATGGCATGGGTCTTTGGAAGACAAGTTTCACAGCATTTATTCATCCATCTATTTATCTGTTCATCCTTCCAAATAGCCAACTAGCTAGTCCTTTCATCTTTCCATCAATTCACTCATCTATTTATCCATTTGGAAAATATTTTTTAAGATT